TGGGCGCAAAATGCGGAATTTCGCTGAGCTTACTCATTTCACGGAAAATGGTTCCACTGCAATATTCATTCTGAAGAAAGTTTCACGAATTTTTCATGACCACTTCGAACACTGTCTCAGATTGTTTTATGCTGCAAGATATTGTTCTTTGGAGCGCCATGCCTCAGCATCACCTCGAGGTAATGCCGAGACACGACGCTGAACCCATTTTCTTTTCCCACGCACAGAAGATATTGGGGAATGAATCCGGGAGCATCCACTCCCTTCTTCAATCGGCATCGGACCACCTCTGGAGACCGATCGTCCTCATCGCGGAAAATCTTTCCTCCTCCAGTAAGTACATGGCGTCCACAATTGTCTCCCCAAAAGTAAAAGCTTATTACTCATGAAGTTTACATCTGATTTCAATTATATACTGTACATTATAATTGGAACGATAGTCAATTCAATATATTTTTATTGTGAAAAATGTCAGCATTCCATAAGAAACCACAACAAAGTTACACGCTAACAAACGAAAGTACACGGATCGCGCAACTAAAGCCTGTAAACATCACAATCCCTTCTAAAATTCGCAATTCTAGCTTGAGTCATTCATTCGTGGGTTTTCCATGCATAACGAGCGATTGTCTGTGTCATGGGTGACCTCAGTATCCTGCTGAAGACGAATATTGCCATTTGGTATGATAATTTGAAGAATGCNAACGAAGGAGGAAGGAGAATGGGGGAAGAGGCTGTTAAGATTGAGGGCATCCTGGACGAGCACAAAGGTTGCATCTCGTCCCTCTCGCCTGATATGTGGAGATTCCTGAATGAAAACGACCTCTTCCCTCTGCCCAAATCACGCGCGCCTTTTGCCACTTGGGGATTCGTTGCTAGTGGTATGTATCCATATATGTGGTAAGTTACCGATTGGGTTAATGTGAAGGCCATGTTCTTCGAAGTGAAAGTTCATAATTGGAGTTTGATGGGGACTATTTTGAGCACACCATTTTCCTTTAGTCACACCAGTGGCGCTTTTACGAAATGTTTATTCCGTAATGCATTGATACAATTCATAAGTGTAATCTGTGATAACTTATTACTTGAATGCCATAAACCCGTCAATCTAATATTTAGGATCAATGTGTACTGCAGGCAAAAGGTGAGGTCTACGATAACATCCCCCTGCCATCTAATCTACCGATAGTGACTGACATAAAAAAGCGAAGCTGTTGACAACCTTACAGGAAACTTTTTCCGCATAAATTTAATGGCCGTCCTGCTGGGACACCTTATCATGCACATTCCGTTGCATACTCCTGCTATATATGATAACGACAGTAGACGTGTCCTATGCTCGGCTGGAAGTTGCAATGTAAGATATATGCATGGAAGAACACTGTCACGACCCTTCTGACTTTGTCTTACAGTATTATGTGGCATAATCGCAACCTTGCACTGCCATTATAAAGAATTGCAGTAGCGCGGAGCATGCAATTTACTTATCTGTAGCCACATGTAGGGGTATTAAGCAGTGTCTTCATTTAACGTATTAACACATACTCATCTGACAGGATTGACGAGAGGATCTAGTGCATTGCTTACTGGTTATCTGCAATCCTGAATCCATGGATGCTCCGTTGTGAGTATGATGTGATGGCATATGAAATAGCCACAGTCTCGCATAGACTGGTGGGTCAGATAATGATTGAAGATGAATGATTACTAAAAATAAATTCGGCTGCCGACTCAGATTTCACTCTGACGCTGAATTAATGCAGAACATTTCAGGGAGTCACGTGATCAACAGTATTCCATCGGTTTTCTTCCCTTCTCTCCCTTAAAAAGGCACTCGTCTGTGTTTCAGATTGGAAGGGGGAAGTGCCTGTGACCGACGACAAAACGGAAATCCAAGAGAACCTAAGGCTGAGGGGAGTGGAGTGGGAGAATGCCGACTATCCTCCATTTCCGATGGAGACCAAGACGAAGGACAGTCGGGCTGGGGGGGTGCTGGAGTCCTTGTCCGTCTACCTCACGGGATCTCTTCTCCACCTGAGTCTCCTTCGGGTTTGGAAATATTCACTCTAGGGGTAATGCTGGATGTGGAGTGAAGAACACCAAAATTCAGTTCCAGAGCTCCTCTCTTTCTGAAACGCGATTCGAGTATTACAGAAAACTAGAGAGTTATAATAAAACATAAATAAAAATAAAACATTAAAGCATTAAAAGTACTTTATCCATTAATGTGCTCAAATTCCTTTGAGTATAGGTATTTTTGTGCTGTAAGTTGCTTAAGGCTATGTGGCATCGATGATCGAAAAATAAATGGAGATCCTCAGTTTCCAAAAATAATCTTCCCATTACATACGTATGGAGTTTCCGTTTTCTATAACAGCCCGAGTTAGCGTAAGATAGAAATGTTTGAAGACGTACTCACATAACACTTTGTGCTGCATTGACATGACTCAAGAGCAGGCTTCTTCTTAAAGTCATCTACCCAATAAATATTTATTTATGTAAGCCCTGTTCAATCTTCATGGGTGCTTCCTTCGTCTACTTTTAAAATCTGCATGGTATGAGCTATAAGTCACAAGACTGAGATTTCTTTACATTGTATAGGAATACTTGTACTCGTTTTTTATTGAGGGCCTCTTTTCATATCATGCGCATCATTTCTGAATGGAAGTTAGCGCAAATAATGCAAGAGTGGAGCAAATAAATATGGTCCATGAGTCCTGGGCGCAAAATGCGGAATTTCGCTGAGCTTACTCATTTCACGGAAAATGGTTCCACTGCAATATTCATTCTGAAGAAAGTTTCACGAATTTTTCATGACCACTTCGAACACTGTCTCAGATTGTTTCATGCTGCAAGATATTGTTCTTTGGAGCGCCATGTCTCAGCATCACCACGAGGTAATGTCGAGACATGACGCTGAACCCATTTTCTTTTCCCACGCACAGAAGATATTGGGGAATGAATCCGGGAGCATCCATTCCCTTCTTCAATCGGCATCGGACCACCTCTGCAGACCGATCGTCCTCATCGCGGAAAATCTTTCCTCCTCCAGTAAGTACAGGGCGGTCCACAATTGTCTCCCCAAAAGTAAAAGCTTATTACTCATGAAGTTTACATCTGATTTCAATTATATACTGTACATTATAATTGAAACGATAGTCAATTCAATATATTTTTATTGTGGAAAATGTCAGCATTCCATAAGAAACCACAACAAAGTTACACGCTAACAAACGAAAGTACACGGATCGCGCAACTAAAGCCTGTAAACATCACAATCCTTTCTAAAATTCACAATTCTAGCTTGAGTCATTCATTCGTGGGTTTTCCATGCATAACGAGCGATTGTCTGTGTCATGGGTGACCTCAGTATCCTGCTGAAGACGAATATTGCCATTTGGTATGATAATTTGAAGAATGCAATTTTGGTGCGGGGAAAATTGGAAAATTTCTTCGGTTTAAGTCCAAATGCTTCAGTTCCTGATGAGAGGATCATGAAGGGAATTCATTAGAGGTTTCTGAACCTAAAGAGATTCATCGGCGGACTTATGACTGCCTAGAAATGCTGAAACAGGCCATTGGAGATGTCTTGGCCTTTGCAGGACCAGAGAATACGAAAGAAATCTGCTGGCATCCAAAGAGAGACTGCACCAAGTCATTGAACATTGTGGATGTCATATTGAACACTTGCGATTTGGGGGCTTTCATTTGTAAGACTGTAACTGTACTTAAGTTTGATACGCAATGGTGGAATTTTCAGCAGTAAATATCTATTGAATTGACTATCATTTGAGTCATATAACATTGAAATGGGATGCATACTGAGGAAGTATTGTGTACGAGGAAGAAATTGTGCCTTGTACACTGTAAAAAAATATGGTTCAGACTATAACCCTTAGATGCGTGTACGCTTTCAGAGCGGTTTCCGGAAATCGAGAAACAGTTTGCTATGGTTTTAAGCTCACTTCAAAAACTATTCGACATAATGACGCCTAATAACAACTTGGTAGATCTTCAAGTATTAAGGATGGTGCTTGGCACGATTCTATGT